GGAGTTACGAGTAAAACGTGTGAAAGAAGAGGCATTTGGTCGAATACTTCTGAGCGATGCTGTATGGGGATGGTATGTGTCGGATTAGTGAATGTTTGGTGTCAGGAGGGCACTTTATTCAATCGAAAACATAAGAATCTACTAACGAGGTTTTGGCTGACTAGTCATTTGCTCAGTTGTAGAAAAGTTGCGAACAAAAACGGCAAAGGAGGAAATCCTAATTATATCGAAGTCACGAGCACAGATTATAAACATAATCATATACGTAAGCCTCCCCAAATGTTGACAACCACATTTGTACTGATCTGCTAAGCATAGCTCCAACTCTTTAGAGATCAGTGTCGTCGTTCTCATGGAGAAATTCCCACTTAATCTCCTGCGATCCCCTAATCTTTGGGATCGCTAATTTATCATTTCTTGTTTTATGTATTTGAATTCATGGTAAGGAGTCACGTTTGAAAGTTTATGTAAGTGGATGAAAACCGTGCAAAACAGCAATGAATTGCGCATATCATGGCATGATATCAAATTCGAAATTCTAGAGCCTACCCTTCTTTTTTCTGCTGTGTGCTACTATGAAGCTATATAAGTTTTGAAGCGCACTTTATAATAAGTTGGTGTGACTCTGAAGTTTACACTTTTTTGTTGCTATTCCAAAACGCTTCTTACAATGCATTGGGCCCAAAGAACTGGTGTCGACTCAGCCCAGCAGAGAGAAGTCAGGTTCTCGAAACGTGCTTCAAAAACATTGTCCTCTGGTTGTTGGAACTAGCTCTATGCTTGGAGTCGAGTTTCTATCCTTCCAGACATTTCGTAGAATCTGAAAATTATTCATCGTAGTTGACTACAATTATGTTCATTGCTACTTACTGTGTTTGGTTATTGACTCGACAACAAACTCGTTATTTCAGAGATTTTGGAGAATTTTGGCCTGAAAACTGTGGTTGTGGTGGCCATCGTTTGCATGGTGATAGCCGTCATTTCTCTTTTAGTCGCTTCATTTCTCGCCTCTTCGCTCTATAGCCAGAACAAGGACTGCTCTCCTCAGTCGAAACAAATGTATGACTCCAGCTATGACGACGAGTTTCAATAAATGAGTAGCTTGAGTTGAATAGAATTTGTGGCCTTCCTCTCGCGCGGGCGTAAAACTCATACATTTTTGTGTCTTATAGCTCCATGAATTAATTGAGTGACAATTTATGTTGCATGATTGTTCATGTATCTTTACAATATGTATATGCAGTATCAATTTCCTGTTTCCGTTCTTATGTTTCTGAATTGACGAAATCAATAAATGGATCTCGGCGGCAACAAAATCTTTTCTCCATGATTTACATACAATTCAGTAGTAAGAAAAATCATTGTAAATGCTTAAAGTATGATTCTGTTGCAAGTCAACGATGAACACAGCTGCACCTATCATTTCTGTGCGGTAAATGCCCTTCTGGCAGAGAGAACTAGAAGAAGGAGTTATGTATCTCCCTGTACAGGCTGACCTAATGCTTTCGGAGCATCAATGTTGCCAGCACCCATGTTGATCTATGCAGAGGTGCCAGTACATACCTGCTCATATCTCAGCTAAGCAGTGCGCAATAAGGTGGCATGCGCTCAGGAGCACAGAAAGAGCGGCTATGGAGGTGGGTGGGATTGGCACAGAGACAAAGAAAGGCTAGATAGGAGACACTCACGAAAACCTTTGCAGCCTTCAACGCGATGTTGATCAGGTGACCTTCTCAGAGCGTACTTATACCACCGCAAGGGTTGCCCTAAGCTTAAGCTGGGTAAAGGCTATTAGGGTCGAAGTTCTTGTTTCGGACTCGATCCAGTCGCATCCGATCCGCTTTCACCTCATTCATTGCCAATCATGACACTTACTGGTCAGCACTCGCTGCCGAAGGGCATCGCAGACTTCACCAATGCTGTGCCTAACTTTCCTTTGAGCTTTCTGAAGAACCGCACGTCTCGGAGGTAACTGCTGGCCTCTTCATTTCACCATGCAACCTGTTCAGACTTTATGTTTTCTAACTTAGTTTTTTTCGCCGTAGTGCGCAATGCAAAAGTCAAACAAGTTTGTCTGTCCGAGGCCGAAGTTTTGTCCTGAATTTCGGCCATGAAGAAACCATCACTAATGAAGGATCGTAGATCTTGGGACTACTCGTCGGTTTCATTGGTCATAGTCGGGGGAAGCATTAACCCCCCCCCCCCCCCCCCGTTAAGAGCTCTACGCTGCTTGAATATCCCGCGAAGTAGGAGGAGTAGCACAAGAGTGTCATCGTGAAACTCATACCAACTCCTCAGCAAGTGAAAAATAGAAAAGCAACCAGCAACAAACTTAAAAACATCCTTCCTGCTCAAGTAAGCTACCGGGAAGATATTTTTTGATTTTTTTTTTGGAAATTTGAAGCTACAGGAATATCCCCAAAATCCACATTATTCTGTGCAGTAGCTTATTTCCAAGTAATTATTTGCTATAAGACGTCGTGGACTCGTGCGTACGTTCCGTTTCCTGAACATTTGCGACCAATGCATGATCCTTTACCCGGACATCTTTCTCTGACTGCACTGGGTTCCAGCGCTTTACGTAGGATACAAAGTTGCCTTTTTACACCGCAGGATACTCTGCTAATATGTCCATAAAGTAGCTTGAAATTTATTTAATTTGTTTTCTAAGCACATGTCTGATTGCATTGTATTGTATTTGGCAAGTATCGTGGTACCATTGCGAAAATTCTGATCTCTGAAGTTATACGTTGTGACTGTTGACGGGACAAGTTTCACTTGCTGACGTCAATGTCCTGATTTCCTATTTGCGCAAAAGACTAACTGGTAAGAATCGTATACAACTGAGTGCCTTTCATTTTCTGCAGCGGTCATGGTCGATTTCTACTGGAAAGATGTACAATGATGATGACCTTCGTTGAACTTTCTCTCTTGAAAACCATGTGATTCAACCGCAGTTATCTTGCTACAAATACGAATGCAACCTCTACACAGTTTTTCAGGGATGTGACATGTGACATGTTGTGAGTTAGTGACCATTGGTGTGCACAATGTGCATGCAGTCTGCTCAGAAAAACGGATTCGGAGAGCAAGCTCAATGGAATGCCTGACAGAGTTGCCTAATAAGGCCTTGACTACCTAACAAATGTTTTTGATGTTGATGACATATGCTTGGACTGTGCGGACCTCAAAGTGAGTGAGGACTGTCTTCGATCTAATGGTATCTGGTGTTTGACGCTAAGACACTTCCGACATGCATTGAGTTCACGTAAACCTTTCCCATGGCTCCAGTATTCATTGGAGCCTTGAAGCTTGTGGTGTTGACCACAACCAATGCAGCGTAGTTTTGATGTGATGTTTGTGCTTTCGAGTGAAAACCGAATATGAGTCTACAAATTCTTAACCGCTTCACAGTGAAATACAATAGAAGCGTCTTCTAGAACAGACCACTCTGATTTACATCATTAGCGGTATTGTGGATTACATTAAAGGCACAGTTCACGATAATTTAGGGGTATCAAGTATTTGACAGATAGTGATAGGTAAGGCCTACATCAGGACAATAGTACGGCATAAAACGCGAAAAACAGCGAAAAAAAGAAATATAAACTGCCAGAAAAAAGAGAAAAAGGGGGTAGGACGAGTTTCATAATGGGAAAACGGCGCTCAAGGAAATTTTCGGGCGAGTCAGACATGCGCGACGCAGTGTCTGCAATTGCACACAACACACCCAAACAGCTGATTTTGCCATCATTGTTGAAATGCTTATTATTCTGTTGATATTTTACTGCAATATTCCCCCTGATCCACTCGCAGTTGCAGCG